GGATTAACCTCGCTATGCGGGGCACCACTGTATAGCATTACTGTTGAATATGAAAAAGTTGTTAGCAGTGGTAATAATGGTTGAATACATTAGTGTGAGTGGGCAACTACATTGACAGATGATGTGGGAAATTCTGTACAGTTGGGACAGTCTATAATTATCTACAGATTACATGACAGACAAGCCCATGCATATCAGCCTGGAGGTTCTCCCTCAATCTGTACTTCTTTCCTTCACTATTGGGGCTTCTACAGTACTTTTTCCCAGTCAAATGCATTTGCAGCAGTTCAGTAAGTGTGATTGCTTGCAACCGTGCAGCTTCAGGGCTGAATGGATTGCCAGAAGCTGCTTCTCCCAGATTCCTCGTTCAAGGTAGGTTGAGAGGAAGCAAAGAAGCACTCACAGTTCTCCTCAAACAAACACCCCCCTGTCTCAACCATTTTAAACAGCTTAGTGGAAGCAGAGGTGTGCTACAGTAGCTGGAGGCCAAAGGGGGGGGGGAGAGAAGAATCAGCAAGGATTGGGAAGGAGATTGCTAATAGGCAGCTTGTTAAAGTAGGTTTTTGCAATTTGCTAAGATAGGTCCTTGAAGCTCATTAAGATAGCTTTGTTGTAGCTGTCCCTCCTGCCGATCTGGACAGACACTGCAGAGCTACCTTAACAAGCTGCAAGCAAGCTAGATAGCCAGTTTCCTCCCCCTTTCTGCTGATTCCTATGTGTTTGGCTAAAGCAAACTCACTGGGGGAAACCCAACTTCCTGAGACTGACTTCACAGTCGGAACCATTTGCATTTTTTTTCTGCTACATATTCACACCCTGATTCTTCTAAAGCACAACATTTGGTATTTCCACCAAAATACCAAAAAGATTTGGACAAACAAGAAACAATTCCACATCTAAGCTGTGCTACTCTTGCTAGTGTCTAAGTATGAGACAACTGAAGAATCTAAAAGAATCCTATTGATATTCACATAAAGTTTGTGTAAGGCGTATGTAACTTTCCACAACTAATTGAAGCTAGTTAACAAGGAGTTAAGATTCATCTTGGTTGTATAGTTGGGCATGTGACCAGCTACCTGACTGAGATGCACCACAACACCTCTTCAATTAGTTGCAATTAGCAAATCTTACTGAAAGTTGGATTCTGACCAATGTATTGAGCAATAACCAGATGTAGATGCAATAAATACACTTTATGCCAGCTCAGTATAGCTCAATGAGTTGGACCACCTAGTTGCAGAGCTGAAATCTCCATTGTGCCCTGCTAGATGGTCCAGCCAAGATCACTGGGATTGTGTGTATGATCAGGTTATATGCCATGCCACTGTTCAGCCCCAGTTGCATAGTCCCAGAGTATCAGCAAAAGGAGGGATTGGTAAGCCACTTCAGAGTATTTCGTACCTAGAAAACCCTGGGATGGTTGCCATACATTGGAATCAATGCACTGTTGTTTCCCATGGTTTTTTGTTGGTGGTCCTTTTAAGGCTTTCATTTCTTAGAGCATCATTTGCTACGAGAAGTTACTGAATTTCACATCATGCCACATTGGACACCTGTGATATGAAACAATGAGTGCTTGTTAGTACTGGAGTGCTTGTTAGTCAAAACTAAAAAATAGATGTTGAATGTCTAAACTGTACTTTCACTTTATTCTTTCTAGCTCAAAACATAATGGCTGGTGAAGGAGTGGGAATAAGCAATAAATTAATTAATCTAGAAATTAGCTCTCCAGAGGTTCCAGACTTGACACTGATCGATCTTCCAGGCATTGCAAGAGTGGCTGTGGGTAATCAGCCATTAGATATTGGAGATCAGGTAAAGGACTGAGTAAATTTGGGGTTAGCTTGGGAAATTAATTCAGCAAAATTAATCTTGTGTGCAAGAGGTGATCTCTGGCACTGTTCTTCAACAAGGCATGAGATCTTCCCACCTTGCTAGAAGGGTGAATAGTTACTTCTTGGGCTATTTTCAAAAATGATATAGAATCTTTAGCTAGTGAAGAATATGGCTGCTAAAATTTTGACTGGCTTAACTATTAAGCCAACTATTGAGTCTAATTCTAAATTCTTAGTGCTTACCTTTAAAGATCTGAAGGTTTTAGGGACTCCAGTTCCTGAAGCCATTGGTGTGTATTAAGATTGCCAAATGAGGCCCCTGGCTAAGTAATACAAGTTCCTATGCACATATAGATAAAAAGGGGTTTCCTCTGTTCTGGCAATCCAACCTCTGAACAAACATCGAAAGAAAAAAGTCAGGATTACGAGGTCCAGTGAGATGCTGTTTGTGAGATGTGTTAGGACTTTGCTAAGAGAGCTTTCCTTAAGCTAGTTAAAATCCATGAATTTCTTTTCTTTGTATTCAGATCTACTGTCTGTTGTTAAGTCTCAGGCCCTGGTCCTGACTGCCTTTCTATTTGGCATCCCTAGCCCAGTCTGGCACCTTATTGTGTAAATGAGGATACCATGATCCCTGGATTGGTTTTAAACTTGCCTAGATTTCCACCTTCCATCCCTGTCAGCTTGCAGTGGGTGCACGCTTGCTGATCCAAAAACTCTACAGGATTTTCCCATCTTTCTTTTACCACAGATCAAAAAACTGATAAAAACATATATTGACAGAAATGAGACAATCAATTTGGTGGTGGTTCCATGCAACGTGGATATTGCCACAACGGAGGCATTGAAGATGGCTCAGGAGGTAGATCCAGAAGGCGAGCGCACTCTTGGTAAGGAGGGAAATGTGTCTTGCCTTTCATAATTTTGCATTGTCAAAGATGCACATGACCTTTGGATCATCACACAACATTATTTGAGCACTGCTTTTAAGGTTCATGTCCCTTCCATGATTGTTTTGTAGTCACTGGGATTTTTGCTCTTTGAATCGAAGTATGAAGACCTTATGATGTAAAACTTGTGGGAAAATAGATTACAATAGAAATAAAATGTATCATAGGAATAAAATATAAAACCCTGAAAAGGGTCACCATAAGTCAAAACTTTGAGAACACACAATTATTTCTATTTTATAAGGGAAGAAAAATAAAAATCACCATGTAAGCAAAATTCTGTTACCTTGTGTGATTGAGAAAGGGCAGTTGCGTAAGCATTGTTATGTGTCTTGCAGAGTATCTGTTGCATGCCTGTCACAAAAATTATATCATCAGTCGTATGTCCATGTGAGGCCCAAGAAACAGGAAAACTGCGTGGGCAATTACCCTTACCCTATAGAGTTTTACTTTAAAATGTAGTCATTGTGTTGTGCATATATAATTTAACTGGGTACAATATTTAAATATTGCATTAATATTTTAAGATCTTCCCCCCTCAGTGTTAACATTTTATTTGTGAGTCCTTTAAAAACTACAAGCTCATTTGTCTAATTCAGTTGATACGTTCCCTGAGCTCTTCAGAAGCTTGGTGGGACATAGAACGAGAATATAGTTCATCAGCCTAAGTTTTTTATTATGGTTACAGCTGATGAAAAGAGGGAAGAAAAAAAGCAGTGAGAAGGAAGGTCACACAATTTCCTCATGTTATATAACTGTAAATTGTATCTCCTGGGAAAGAAGGAGGAATTCTGAGGAAAGATGCAAAACAGATATGGATTTGGGTTTTTAGGGGGTCATGGTGAAAGTCAAACTATACATAAGTAAGAACCTATCATAACGATTGAAATCATATTAATGTTCCAGGTACATGATTTAGGTAGACTTTTACGTTGAGTCTTAGAAATAAGACCTACAAACAAAATTGCACTCTTGAAGGCCAGTTAGAAGACAAATTTGCAAATTACATGAAGTGAGAAAGGCTCCTATTTTTCCACTCATCAGCTGATGGATTTCTTCTTCTAATTATAGATGATCCATAATGTATAGTTCGGTCCTCAGGCTGAAAAACCGGTCAAGCCCATGACAAATTAGCAATCAGAAGCATGAGCTAGAAGGTTGCATTTATATTTAAATCTAATTATTAATAGCAATCTAATTTTGAAAATTGGCAGTAATACTAGCAGCCCTCTTTGTGGTCTCCTCTGCTTGAAACTTGACCCTGATAAATTGCAAGGCTCTCTATGCTGCTTTTTGAACATCTATACAGTAGATGCATCTTTTGTTCAAAGGCATAATAATAACCTGTCTGGTCGACTGGGGAAAAGAAACCCATAAAATACTGTATATCACAAATATAATTTCTACACTTGCATTAAAGCTAATTTTCTTAAACCATGCATTTCTACAATTCCCTTTTATAATGTGTTTCTGGAAAGCTTCTGTTCTCATATTTTACTATAGGGATTTTGACAAAGCCTGATCTGATGGACAAAGGAACTGAAGGGAATGTTGTGAACATAGTGAGAAACTTAGTCATCCCCCTGAAAAAGGGATATATGATTGTGAAATGTCGAGGGCAGCAAGACATCCAGTCCAACCTGACACTGGCTTCTGCAACCCAGAGAGAGAGAGAGTTTTTTGAGAATCACAAACACTTCAGGTACACGTAGAATTTATACTGTATTTTTCCGTGTATAAGATGCTATTCTACTCTAAAATGATTACACTAAAAACTGAGGGGCATCTTCTACATGGAAGTAAGCTGAGAACACGGAGGGAGAAAAACGTCCCATACCTTGCCTCTGAAAACAGGCTTCCGGCCTCCATTCAGGAGGCTTAGCTTCCTTCAGTCAGGAGGCTTATGGAACTGATGTCAGCTGTTGCTGAACAAACCCATTAGAACACATCTTGTTGGAGGCAGAGCCTGTAGGCTCAGATTCAATAGGGACTCATAATGTCCGAGCGTTCTGAGCCCAGAGGCTGAATACTCAAAGCTAAGTTTTCTTAATTTGAGGGTTAGAAAATTGGGGGGGGGGGTTTATAAAAGGAAAAATATGGTAGTTCTCTTTTACTTTCCTATATATTGCCCATTTCTTTTGTTTTCACTTGTTTTGCTTTACATGCTCACTTGGCTGAAAATAGTTTGAAAATATTTGTTTTGTGATAAAATACACTTGGTTGGGCACCTAAATAGATACACATTTAAGTACATTCTTGATTTCCAATAATTTGTCAAAATCCTAAAGCTGAAATTTGTGGATATAACTTCTTCACACAGACTACACATAAATGGGTAATGCACACTCATGTATACCATTAAACGTGCATGAACACAAAGCTTCTCAAGGGCCACCTTTTGTCTATCCCTGCACTAAATGTTTTGATAAGGGATAGTGTCTAAAATTCAGTAGTAAACTGTAACTAGATTAAGCCCATAGAACCAATGTAGTTACAGACCTCATGTGCACATATTGCCTCGTAAATTTCTGAGGAATCAGATGCATATCAGAAAGGGAATGGCCACCCAGGTCTTCTTTGTCCTGGGTGAGATTGTCCTTTTGTAGGCTACTTGATCTTTACTGCAAATGCTTAGCTTTACCTCCCTCATTGTATGTTCCTCTTGTTTCCTTACAGTATGCTTTGGAAGGAAAAAAGAGCCACAATTCCCTTATTGGCTGAAAAACTTACAAGTGAACTTGTGCAACACATTAGTGTAAGTTACTAGAGCATTTTATATCACCAGCATCTGACATCTTAAATAAAAGAACTGAAGCATCAAGCCAAAAAGTCCTTGTTTTTCTTCCAAACCAAAATATTTTCCAATTTGTGTAAATATTTGTATGCATATGTTTCACTTTCCAGAAATCATTGCCCACATTAGAAGAGCAGATAAGCTTTCAGCTTCAGAAGGCAAGCGATGAGATGCGCAGATATGGCAAAGGCATGCCAAAAACTGAAGGAGAAAAGCTGTATTTTTTAACAGATGTAAGTATAGTGGATGAGTGTGCAAAGCTCCATATGCCAAACCTGGTGCTTATTTTTAAAAAGTATCATGTTTGTTGATGCTTCTTGTTTTCAGAGAGACACCTTAATCTTTACTCATTCCTTATCTCTTTATGTTTTAATCACATCATTCTTACGATTCTTCTACAAAAGTGCCTCGGAAATAGAAAAATGGTCTGAAATAGTCAATTTGCCCCATAAATATTTTAAACATTGCTGTGTTCTTTTGCCAAAGTAATGTTGTAAAGCCCTCTTTGTTCTCCGAAGTAAAGTATTGTCGTTTAATGTCACTGAATCATTTGTTACTTCCAAGCACTGGCTAAGTTTTCTTGACTTAAAAGAGATTATTCCAGAATTTAATGCTCTGTCATCTTGTCTATATCTTTTTTTTCTTTCAGAAAATCCAGCTGTTTAATGCAGATATCACATGTGCCATACAAGGAGAAGAAAAATTATCTGAAAAAGATACCAGACTGTTCACCAAAATCCGTAAAGAATTTCAGAAATGGGACCAAACAATTGCTGAGAATGGCAAGAATAGTAAGTACAGAGTAATTTCTCTTTGGAATAGTTCCCTGGTCCACCAAATACTGTCCTGATACGGTTGTGTGTTGATTCTTGATTGAGAGCCTTAAAGATTAGGAATTAGTGGCTTTGAGAAAAGCATATGCAAAAAAACAAACAAAAATAAAAAAAACTAGTGATACACAGGAGTTCCTAAGCATCAGCAAAATGATGATTATTCAGTTTATTAAATTTATATCCAGTGTTTATTGAATCTACATCTTTATACCAAAAGTTAGTACTCAAGACAGCCAACAGTAATAAAAAATTAAGTAAAAACAAATACTATAGAATCATGCCAAAGAATACAACTTCAACAGCTACTCAGCTTAAATGCCAAAGGCCTGCTCAGAATGAAAGGTCCTTGCCAACAGAAGGATAGCAGAGGAGCACTTACTCAGCCTCCCTCAGAAGCGCTTACTCAGCCTCTCTCAGAAGTCCCACAGCCTGGGAGCCATCACCAAGAAGGCCCTATCTGACAAAGGACTGCCCAACTTATTCTTAAAATGAAAGAAGAGGAGCAAGTTGCAGCACGAGGTTACAAGGATATGCTCACTTTCTTTTTTTAAACATACGTATGGATTTTTATAGCTCACTTTTGTTCCAATACTTGAACTCTGGGCAGTTCATAACATTTTTTTAAAAAAAACAGAAACAACTGAACGACAAAAAGTTATAGTAGTAAAACATGTGATGTTAAAGTACAGTTACAGTACATCAAAAAATGTGAAAAATATGCAACACATAGACACACACTGTACAAGGCTCCTTCATCAGCAACCATTCAGCTAAAGAACAGTGTGAATAAATCTTTGCCTGCTAGCTGAAGGACAGGACATGGGGAGAAGGATACAGCCGGAGATGACTTGACAAGGATTTCCATAGCTTGGGAAACATCCACATTTTAACATTAGAGCTGATGGTAAGCATTCCTGAGACAGGATAAGAATGGCGAATCAACTTCCTTAGATGCTATAAAAAGTAGTGGCAAGGCTTGTGTGTACCTTTCTCTGTTATAAATTCGCACATCCTAGTCCAGATTAAATGTAATTCAAAAATGAAATAGATTTTTGTATTTGCTTCACTTTCATCAACTAGATAAAGCTACACCCTGTTTATTTCCTTGAGCTTGAGGTTTGATCGTCACAAAGACCCTCTGTTTAACCACTTCACCACACTGCCTGTGCATTCAAGATTCTGCATAGTCCGACAGCGTGTTTTAGATTCAGCAGGCAAGAAGAATCGGGCATTCCAGAATCATTGTGAGAGAGGGTGTTATGCATTGTGAAATTGCTTCCAACTAGACATGGGGGCTTTGTATTTGTCTACAAATATGAAGCCTGCCGGCACAGGTGGCCAACCCAATTACCACCCACTCACAGAATACACTGGACTACTTCCCATGTGGTGCAAGGGGTCAGCATCATCTCCTGCTCCCCAATCCCAGTGGTAATTGGCTGCCACAGCCCCACCTTCCTGCTCACCTGGCCATTCCATGGCTAAGCAGGGAGACGTGTAGTCCTGTTCCCTTGCCAGAGTGTCTGGGTGAGCAGGGAGACAGGGCTGTGGCAGCTGGGCTACTGCTGTAATTGAGCAGCAGGAGATGAGTCCAGTTACATATACTTCACGCTGTGCAGTAAGTGGTCCAGCAGGTTTTGCGGATGGGAATCAGACCGACCACGTGTGCTGCCAGGCTTTGTATTCGTAGACAACTATGAAGCCCCCATGTCTACTTCCAACTTGTGGTAACACTGTATGACCTTTAGAAGGTCGTAACTAGAGACGGGGATGAATCAGGAAAAATGGCGATTGACAACAACGTGTCATTTGTCAAAATTGATGAATGGATGAATCGACAAAGCATCAGATTTTAGTGATAAATTGATGAATATTCATCAGTTCATCATTGAAAGCCAGTGACCTGCCGAACAGCTGATTGGCAGATCATTGACAAGCAGGCTGGCTGCAGAAAGGAAAACCTGGGTTTCATTTCCCACAACCAGCCTGTCTGTCAATGCCCCAATGATGAAGTGAGGGTTTCCCATCCAGCAGCCTATTTCCCTTCCCACACCCAGCCTGCATGAAGGGATGAATAAAAGGGGTAAATATTCATCTCTTCATTTTCATCGGGCTCTCTGGTGAATACGAAGGGATGACTATCCCACGAATCAGCAATATTTTGTGAATATTGTAATTCGGGTTTTTATTCATCTTCTAGTCTTTACATTACTATATCATCTCAGATCTTGCCACCTAGAGGTCATTGCTTCCTTTTATTGACTTCCTCTTGTCCTGCTGCTGTCCATTTTCCCCATTCTGTTTTCCAGTGCTTGATGTCTTCTCATGATGTGCTGAGTATGATAGCCTCAGTGTAGTCATAGTCCTCCATAGTCCTCCTTCTAGTCTCCTCTTTAGAAGTGAAGGGAGCACTATCCTCTAAGCATCTTCAGGTTTCTAGATGCTATGACACCTGATTAAAAGCTTTTGCTGAACCTACTTTGTTTGCTGTAATTTTATGAGAAGGTACTTATTTTTCTTTATTCCTGCAGTTGAAAAATCTCTCCATCCTGAGGAGTGGAAATTTGAACATCAGTATCGTGGACGAGAGCTGCCCGGTTTTATCAACTACAGAACATTTGAGAGTATTATGAGGAGGCATATTTCCATATTGGAACTGCCTGCTCTTGAAATGCTGAACAAAGTGACAGGTACAGGCTTCTTAGTCCAAGAGGTGACATGGTATTGGAGCCCTCCCAAAAATTTCCAGTGTTTATATTTTATACACTGGAAAAGAATATTTTTCAGGACAGAAACAAATGGGGGCAGCTCCTGCTTGCAGAATGAGATGCAGGTTTTTGCCAATAGATTTTCAGGAAATACAACACCGTTTTTTTTCATGATAATGATTCTGGTTTTTGTGTTCTTCCCAGAAATTGTGCGTCAAGCATTTGCAGAGGTAGCTAAAGCTCACTTTGATGGTTTCCCTCATCTTCATATGCAAGCTAAGGTAAGAAGACGTAAGTGATGCAAATCAAATTCTTCCGGAGGCAGGATTTCATCCCCCTTTACTTTTTTGGTCCACACATCTGATCACTGTCAAATCTTCAGTAAAAAATGTGGCCCTTCCTCAAAGCATCCTACCTATAATGTGGAATAGCTTTGGACTACATGTACAACAGACAAACAAAGCTGCAAAATCTTTGTGCACCTTCATGTGCATGCAGGGCTATATACACATTGTTCACTGTTGTGGGTGTGAGATAAAAGTGATATCAGATACTAAAAATGACAGCGGTGTTATGAACATTAATAATGAACTTTGAATATGTTGGTGAGCATAAACCTCCTGGAAGAGGTAACGTAATTAGTTAATGGAAAATATCTGTAGGCTAATGCATAACTTTTTAGTGCCCTCCTTTTTTTTTAAACTATGCTTTCCACAATGTTCTAAGCACCAAAGCCAGTTGCAATCTAAGAATTTCTGAGCTCTGGCCTTACCACCGGCTGCTCAACTCACCAATACAGGACTAACAGCCAAATTGTATGTTGTATTGTTTATACTGGGCCGGGATTTGTAAAGCATGCTTCAGATCACAGCTCTAATTGTGAAGCAAAGAAAGAAAGAATGAAAGAAAGGAAAGACACAGCTGTGGAGCATTGATTTGATCCAAAACATGCCCCTGATCCAGACCAAGAGTCCCCAGCTGGTTTACTGCTGGAAATCTGCCCCTTCCGGTGGATACCAATAAATTCTGAAGTACAGATATTTATGAGGAAAGTCCTTAAAACTCATTAGACCCCAAGGAGAGCCCAAAAATACTCACTCACTGAGCAATGGGGAAAGATGTAGGCCATAAAATAGGTTCTGTGTTGTGTGCCATCGGATGCTGCAGTAAGGTGTGTACTGTGAAAGTGATAGAACTGTGGGGTTTTACTCCAACTCTCCCCACCAAATCATATAAAAGTTTTAAAAAAACAACTATTCATACATTCCCACAGGTTCAGGATGATCACTCTGACTTTCTAACTCTTCTGCCTGTCTTTCTGTTCCTTTGGTTTTGGATTTTAATGGCTCAAAATTGCCATTTCCTGGCCTGATGCGACTTACAGACTCTGGAGACAAAATTTTGCCCTAGAACTGCCTGAGAATGGTAACCTCTGGGATGTAGAGCACAACATTCTGGAATGAATGGACTTTGCAAAGGGATTTGCAGGTGTATGATAGAGTTCATCATGTGGCTAAGGACATACCCTGATGAGCATACCTGTGCTTTTAGGGCAGATATTTCGGTAAAGGTAACGGTTCCCCTTGACAATTTTGTCCTCATCTCTGTTTCCAACCCCTAGAGCTAGCATTAGTCCGCAGACAATTCTCCGTGGTCACGTGGCCAGCGTGTCTAGACACAGGACACTGTTTACATTCCCACTGAGGTGGTACCTATTTATCTACTCACATTTTTGCATTTTTGCATGCTTTTGAACCGCTAGGTTGGTGGGAGCTGGGACAAGCAACAGGGACTCACTCCATCATGTGGATTCGATCTTACGACTGCTGGTCTCCTGGCCTTGCAGCACAGAGGCTTCAGTGGTTTAACCTGCAGCACGACCACATCCCTGTTTCCACCACGTCCCTGGTTTATCTCTGTAGGCCAATGTAATTCTGTTCTGTTACATTTTAGAACTATCCATTTAAAAAAATCTTGTTATCTTTGTCTCTGTGTTTGTGTCTTTCAGAACAGAATTGAAAGCATTAAAGCAAAACAAATAGAGGAAGCTGAAAGTACAATCAGAACCCAGTTTGAAATGGAGCAGACTTTATACTGCCAGGACGGTGTCTACAGGAGAGATTTGAGCATTGTAAAAGGAAAAGTAGAAGAAGCTGGGAACAGTCTTTTCAGTGCTGGTTCTTTAAATGGAAAAAATCCTCTAAATTCCGTTGGCACTAGCCTCACTTTTGGAACCACTTCTGCACAAGATAGTTCCATCACAGAAATAGCTTATCATTTGAAGACCTACTTCAGTGTGAGTTATCTTCCCTTGCAAAGGTTCTCTTCATTGTTTCCTCACAGAGGAAGTTGAGGAATGCCAACTTTTTCTCTTTCCTCCCCCTGCAAGATAGCTTCCGGCACAAATAATGTCAGTGTTTTGTGCAAAGCGCATAACCTGTGCATATTGTGCAAAATTGCAGGAGCTGCTGCTTGCTTTCACAGTCTTTTAAAAAGCAGAAGCAAATGATAGGGTCTTTGACTTTTTTTTAAAAAAAAACAAATAAGTTCTTTTATGCTTCCTCTCTGTGTGTTTTTGTATACATGTGCAAGTACTTAGCTTTTTAAAAGGAAAAGGCACTAGTGTTGCATTGTCTGCCCTGGAGACATTGGGCATAAGCTGCAGAGACAGTAATGGGGAAAGAACATTTCTTATTTTGCTCCCACGCTGGAGGCATAGAAACATATAGGATTTGGTATCTCATCATGTTGAGAAAATCTAAATCCATGAGTAAGAGGAACTTAACAAGTATTCTTTTCATTCCTGGTCTGAGGCAGTCGGTATCTTCAACATATATTTTCATCATTTATTTCTGATAACACAGTTGCTCATCCTTCACTGCTGGTTGCTCAGAAGAGGGATTACAAACAGGTAAACATTATTAATAATTGGGTTGTTTGGTGTTTTTTAATTTCAGAATGCAGGTAACCGTCTCTCTTGTCAAGTTCCTCTGATAATCCAGTTCTACATTCTCCAGAAGTTTGGTGATCATCTGCAAAATGAAATGCTACAGCTCCTGCAGAATAGAGAAAAGTTGAGCATTTTACTCCAGGAGCGCAAAGATGCTGCTGAACAGAGGCAGTTCCTCAGTGACCGCATTTTTCGCCTGACTGAAGCACGGAACCACTTAGCAAAATTTTCTGGTTAGAAAAGATTATGTACTGCTTGGCACTGCATGGGGAAAACCTAGTTTATCTGCCAATAGGTAGATCACATCTCGTTTAAAAGGGGAGGGGGAAAGAACTATATTTTATTTCGTATCAGTTCTTTAATAACTAGAACTTTTCTGAGTGCTTCATAACTTTTTCCAGTTTTGGCTACTAGGTAGTACAAAATAATCCTTTTGTGGTCTTCTGTGCCTTATTTGCTAAACAACCCAAGAAAAAACTCACTTGCATCCATCTTGATTTAGATGCCACTTGTTTTGGAATGTTAAATTAGTTGAACTTGGAGGGACTTCTAGGCTTCTGCCTGTGGTGTGGTCTGAGAATCTAGAGAAGTTACCTGATGGGATGCAACCTACTACCTGTTTGTTCAATCCTTGACTTTCTTAATTGCTCTTAATGTTAGTAAGCAGATAGAAGGGGAAGATATGGAGGCAGTGACAGATTTTACTTTCTGGGGCTCCATGATCACTGCAGATGGAGACAGCAGCCACAAAATTAAAGGACGCCTGCTTCTTGGGAGGAAAGTGATGACAAAACTTGACAGCATCTTAAAAAGCAGAGACATCACCTTGCCAACGAAAGTCCGCATAGTCAAAGCTATGGTTTTTCCAGTAGTGATGTATGGAAGTGAGAGCTGGACCATAAAGAAGGCTGACCGCCGAAGAATTGATGCTTTTCAACTGTGGTGCTGGAGGAGACTGTTGAGATTCCCCTGGACTGCAAAGAGAACAAATCTATCCATTTTGAAGAAAATCAACCCTGAGTGCTCACTGGAAGGACAGATTCTGAAGCTGAGGCTCCAATACTTTGGCTATCTCATGAGAAGAGAAGAATCCTTGGAAAAGACCCTGATGTTGGGAAAGTGTGAAGGCAAGAGGAGAAGGGGATGACAAAGGACGAGATGGCTGGACAGTGTCATCGAAGCAACCAATATGAATTTGACACAACTCCAGGAGGCAGTGGAAGACAGGAGGGCCTGGCGTGCTCTGGTCCATGGGGTCACGAAGAGTCGGACACGACTGAACAACTAAACAACAATGTTAGTAAGCAGAAGATTGCTTGAGAAGAAACAATTCAGATGCCAAAGATTGTTACCACTGTAGGCTAGTGGCAAATATGTCTTTGGAGACAGGATGCAAAGAGAGATGTTGGTGTTGCTCCAGGGATTTACAAATTAATAACTCTGGCCCTCTGGTGTAGGACTGTAACTTTTGACAGACCTGGCCAGCACAAGTTGAAGTATGAGATGGGTTGCTGTCCAGTGACATTTGAAACACTAGTCACTCTCTGCCAATCAAGATCAATACCAACCTGGTGTTAGCATTAAAGTATCCTTAGGATGTGAGTACACAGTGAGAAAAATGCAAATTAGCTCACTGGGAAGTTGTTTTCCCAAGGGAAATTTCTGTTAAGTGGCTACATAGGGAGAGAGGGAAAGAAATGGGTAAACAGCCCTGTTTGCAGCTTGTTAATATAGCTCTCCTGAACTATCTTAATAAGCTGTAAACAAGAGCTGAGTGGCAATTTGCTCCTCTCATTTTTTGTTTCTGGGTCTTCCCAGAAAGGTACATAATTTTCTGAAGTTATTGTAACAATTAGAAAGCAGGATTTTTTTTGTGTGTGATATGATGGCTGTGGGAGGTTGCTTGCCAGAGAATTTTGCTTTATGTTCATCGATGTCTTCTAGGCATGTGCCAAATTCAGTTTTTTTCTTTTCAAGCCTTTGTAAATGATAGCTGTGTGTGAGTTTTAAATTGTAATGTTTATATGTTGCATCTGCAGGTTTGTTAACTGTTTTATGTGTATTTTTTACAGTTGTGAACTACTGTGCTGAGAGTGAACTTTTTTTTAAAAGGGCTGATATATCTTCCTAGAAGTATTTTATCAATGCTTGTAATCTTCCTAACACACACACACACACACACACACACACACACACACACACACACACACACACACACACACACACACACACACACACACACACACACACACACACACACACACACACACACACGAAAGGAGGGGATAGAGCTGATTTATTGTATTGGTATGACCTTACATATTAAGTGTGAATAGTAATGGTTGTTGTGGGTTTTTCGGGTTTTTTGGCCGTGTTCTGAAGGTTGTTCTTCCTGACGTTTCACCAGTCTCTGTGGCCAGTATCTTCCGTATGTATATTGTACATACATCACTCAGTTGATTAAGAAAAAATTTGTATGGGCAATTATTTCTTTAGAACTGGAACACTGGTTGGGTGAAAATAAATATCATTTGCAGTTCAGTGTTGTGTTTAAGCACATCTCACTGCATTTTATATCTGCTTATTTCCTAGTGCTACATGGCCAACATGCAAGAAAATGGCACTTTAAAAAAAGTCCTACTATATCTACATATACTGCTACCATTGTAACTTTTATTATTCTGACTTGAAATCAAGTTAGCATGTTCTCTACCATTAGTGAATGGGTCTCTCATTGCCTTCCCTTCCCGTGCCCACATTAAGTAATTGTTCATGAATGCCAGAAATTAACATAGACTCACAACAGACATAGGGACGTGCTGGCGCTGCGGGCTAAACTGCAGGAGGCTTTGTGTGCTGCAGGGCCAGAAGACCAGCAGTCGTAAGAGTGAATCCACACGACAGAGTGAGCTCCTGTCGTTTTGTTCCAGCTCCTCGCCAACCTAGCAGTTCGAAAGCATGTAAATGCGAGTAGATAAATAGGTACCGTCTCATTGGGAAGGTGAACAGCGTTCCGTGTATAGCCGCGCTGGCCACGTGACAACGGAAACTGTCTTCGGACAAACGCTGGCTCTACGGCTTGGAAAGGGGGATGAGCACCGCCCCCTAGAGTCAAACATGACTGACTAAAAAATGTCAAGGGGAACCTTTACCTTTACCACAACAGACTGAGATTGCATGGCTGCATTTTTTTCCCAGAAAGCTTGAGTACCTAGAAAGAAGCATATCAGGCAAAAACGTTGTGGCGCCTTAAAGACTGGAGGCTATATTTTAATATGAGTTTTTGTGGGCAGGTCCAGGTCTGAGGAAGTAGACTTATTCACAAAAGCTCACATTAAAATATAGGAGTTAGTCTTTAGTGTGCCACAATATTTTTAGTACAGACAAGTAGAAAGGAAATGCAGGGATGGCAGTAGGAGGGCAAAAGCTGAGAATGAGCTGAGGTTAGCTAGAGACACTAAAAGCAATAAAAAAGCATTCAGGTATGTGAGTAGCAAAGATGAACAAAAGACATAGTGGCAGAGCTCTGCAATAGAGATTGGAAAATGATAATAGGACAAAGAAAAGGCAGAGATGCTCATTTCCTAGTTTAGTTCAATCTTTTCCCATAAGACAATGAACTTCCAAACAAATTGGAAGTGCAGGTTGGGGGGGCAGAATTGCAGCTGGAGACAGGTAAATAGTCAAGGAATACCTTACTACCTTGAATGAGTTCAATCTCCAGGGCCAGATGAACTGCATCCAAGAGTACTGAAGGAACTGGCTGAAGAACTCTCATAACCGCTATCCATTTTTTTCTCGAAATCATGGGAAACGGTTGAGGTGCCACAGGACTGGAGGAGGGCTAATATTGTCCCTCTTCAAAAAAGGCAAAAAAGACCTGGGAACTACAGGCCAGTCAGACTGATATCAATCACAGGGAAAATTCTGGAACAGACCATAAAGTGGTCATTGTGCAAGCACCTAGAAAACAATGCAGTAATAACTAGAAGCCAGAACGGATTTGTCAAGAACAAATCCTGTCAAACTAATTTGGTGTTGTTTTTTGATCGGCTCACTTCCCTGATAGACAGAGGGAATGGTGTAGACATAGTATATCTTGACTTATTATTATTATT